TAGGGAAAAATGAGACTCAAAGTAGATGGAGGCGTCTTCGTTTCCCATGAGCTACGATGACCTTTTCCATTTACCAACATTGACAAGTAAACAATTTCCTTTTTCTTCAAACCAATCACCTCCTAAGCGCCACCACTCAGTTTTCTTTTGATCCATCTGGTGTAAAGCTTCGAGAGAAGTTAGAATGCGTGTGTGTGTGTGGTCAAACATGGTTACGTGAAGACCGAGTGAAAGCATGGTAGCTGAAAAGCCGTCCAAAAAGAAAACATAAATAAGGAAGCTGATTACCAAATTAATTAAAATATTAAAATATTTATTCAAGATATGAAATAATAAAAGCTAACGTCATTCCTATTTTGAAATTCTGTTACCGGTTGTTATCTTGGAGAGACTTGGACATCCCTTCTCTCTCCAAATAAACAAGAGAGATAGGGAGAGGGAGAGAAATGGCGGCAAATTTTCTGGCAAAGCTTCTTATAGCCGCCGCGGTACTGCCGCCGTAGGTGGTTCTCTGCAGTTTTTCCTCCACTCTTAACTCTGGAGAGAGCTTTTCCAACAAACCACAGAGTGGAACTGAGTCAACTCAGAGCTTGAGACCGAGTCCGGAATGGAAGGATGTTGCAGCAGCAGTCCTCTAGTGGTGGCGGTGTCGTCAATTTCCCGGTTGGAGGGACCTTCGATCCATACATAGTTGGGTATAATTTCTGCCAAATTCAGTAATTAATCAATCAATTTCTTAAATTTTTTTGCTTGCAAATGTGCAAATGTCACATAACATGTTTTGCTAAAATATATATATATAAATTGTTAGTTAGCCCACGTCTTGGTTTTGAATGAGCCATGATTAAACAATATAATATTTATTTATGATATGATATAGTGGAGACAAACAACCTTCTAATTCATTGACTCAAAACCAATCATTGAATAGGTCAGTTTCTTCTTAGAGATATTTTTTTTTTCCCACAAGCAACCAAGATATCATGGGAGTTTGAATATGAGACCTTTAATATAGAAGGCAAAGGGCCTTTTGCACTGCGCTAAACCCCGTTGACGATTTTAGAGAGTAATCTTAAAGGAGCATAATCGTATCATTACTTTCTAACATTTTTTCATTTTTTATTATTTTATTTTTTGGATTTTGGATTTTCTTCAATTTTACTTATATTTGACATGGGTTTCAAACTTTCAGAAGATTTAATGCAAAGTTGCCTTGGATTCCCATGAGAACGAAAATTGAAACCCAATGCGGAAGGAGGTGTCTCTTGGTTTCCCATGAGCCATGAAACTCTTTCCAAGAGTGAATTTACTAAAAGATTTACAAGTACACTTTTGCAAGCACAAAAACACCATTGTTGATTCAAACACTCGCACATAAAACTGAGAAATGAATGAACATGATCCTCATGTATCAAACAGCACTTATATAACGGTAGCAAAAAGATTTACATAACTTCCACTTCAGTCTGTCCTCTGCCATCCACCGAACACTCAAGTCTACCCCTGAGTGCAATCTTTAGCCAAATGCCCCGGCTGCTTGCATTTGAAACAACACTGGGCCTTCGGTTTTGGACAAGCCCTATACAAATGTCCGACCTCACTACAGTTGTAACACTCACTTGTTCTTCTCTGTTGAGCATGTACAGCTGCTCGGCCTTCTTTTTGATTCCCCGTTCTCTGCCTCTTTCCAGTTCCACCATGTTCACCTGAGGCACACATACATTGAGCTGACGCCTTCCCTTTTCCTCTGTAATCTCTTTGTCTGTTTTGGTGTTGTATGTACAGCTCAATAGTCTTCTCAACTGCGATGGCACAGTCTACCACTTCAGTTAAGGTTTGGAGTCTCAAGTTAACCACTGATTCTCTAATGTCATCAACCAATCCCAACTCAAACTTTCGTGCTTTCTGCACCTCAGTCATTGGTTGTGCGAAACGAAGCAAATTCGAAAATTTAGCCTCATAGTCACCCACAGACATAGAGCCCTGCTCAAGACTCAAGAAAGAAGCCTCCAGCCTATCTTTCAGAGGAAAATACTTGGCATAGAAAACCGTCTTGAACCCTTCCCAGTCCATCACTGATACGTCTTGAGCTCTCTTAACTTCAGCCCACCAATATCGAGCTTTACATTGCAAGAGAAAAACAGCCAACTCTTTCTTTTCAACCTCAGAGCACTCCATCATTTCGAACAAGTTCTCTATATTACCAAACCACTCATCAGCTTTCATGCAGCCCCTAGTTCCATAAAAAGGTTTTGCACCCAGTTCTCTCAGTTCCCTAACCAACTCAACAAGTCTGGATGAGTCGGCATGTCCCGTAATAGTTGGAACAATAGGTTCAGGTTCCATATCTGGTATACCGGAAAATCTCAACAACGGCTGTCAAGCCTCGTATCAAATTGAGGATCACAACCAGTAAAACAACTTTTGTAAAGGGACTTTACCTAAAAAATTTCCGGAAGCGACCGGAAAAGCCGTCGGACAGTCGCGGCTCGAGGGCCGATCTTCACGGTGTCGATCCGGTTTCCACGGTGGTACAATGGAGACGGCGTCAGCACGAAAAATGTTCCTTGCAAGGAGAGGAAAAAAACCCAACAAACGGTGGCCGTAAACGGCCGGAAAGCTGCTCAAACAGTAACGGGAACTGTGGCAAAGTATTGACTTTCGATCAAGTATTCGCCTTGCACAGCGACTTTCTGGGCTGGGTCTTGGTCGGGATAGGTAGAAGGGAATGAGACGAACGCTTTGGTTTAAGAATCAGGGCGATCGGAGGTCAGACAACGACGGAATCACGTCGGAAAGTTCCTAGAAAATGTATTTTGGTTTTTGGATTCAATTAGAACATAACAAGTTAAAGCAGTTATTAGAAAGTCCATACCTGAGTTTGATTTGAGAGTTGAGAAGATTGGATTGCTGATGTGGTTTCTGCTCTGCTTCCACACAAATAGAGAGAGAGAAGACAGAGAAGGAGATCTG